TGTATAAATTGACGAAAATCAAATAAATTGAAAAATGATCTAAATTTTTATTTTTAATTTTGCATCGGGCGATACTTCTGCGGGACAATCTGAAACCTGTTCCAATTCGAATATTATCATTTCAGATCGGTTTGGATTTGGACGATCAATGTCTAACCCGAACCGAAAATTTTCAGTTCAGGTCGAAATGTTCTCAAAACCAATCTAAATGGAGCTTTGGTTTGAAGAAGCCAAAATATTAACCTGAAGTTAAATTACTTAAATGCAATGAATATTAGACAATAAAGTGACAAATTGTGATGATTACATGATTGAAAAACAACTTAACTTCCTATCTGCAATCATTATAACAGAAAAGTCCCAGCAAAAGAAATATACATTACTAGATTATATGACAAGAAGTACTTTGTGGTTCAATCAAGAAGAATGGCACAAAAATAAAGAAACAATCAAGAAATTTCAAGATCAAGATCTTTCACTTTCAATATATGCTGTTTGCAATAAAAACAGTATCTCTATATATACATAAATATCATTGGATTTGTCAAAAGTCGAAACTCAACAATCGATTCCCAAAAGGTTTCGAAGGCTTCGTATTTATTTTCTATCATAATTAACATATGCTGACTGTATGTATGGAAAATAATAATTAACCATATAACTTAGAATATCTCGACGATTATATCAAATGGTTTGCATAGCGTTATTTGTGACGCTAATTTGGATTCTTCCCATAAAAAAAGGTCAAGCACAAAAATTGCAAGGAACAACACGGATGGCCGGCGTGGTACGTGTAAGCACGAGAAAGCGATAATTCATACAAGTTTATACAAGTTTCGACACTTAAATGATGAATTTGCCATTTCGTGTTCACACCGGACCATTCGTGCCATTCTTATGGATTTACGTGCTTATCTTTTTTAGAGGACTAGAATCTATCGGACGAACTGGATGTGTAATTACATGCTGAATTTGATCCGTTCTGTTGCCTAATTTCAGATCAACCACAGCATAATTGACACGTCAGAACCTTTTGATACCGTTGAGGCTTACGCACTTTTGACAATAAATTAAATATGTCAAAACGTTAAAAGTAGATCGCTTCCGAACCCTTGGTGGTTATAATTTAATCAAGTTCATGTACGTAGTTTTCCATATTTTGTTTTCTGAGTAATATTTCAAGATTTGTATTTATATTCTCGGAAACAAGATTTTCATTAGATAAAAAATTCCAGGCGTTGAATTAATAATGTTTCGTTATTATTATAGGTTTACTTGGTAACATTTAATAATGAAGATAATATTAAGTTATAACAGTTTCATAATTTTGTCATTGGTATTTTCCTTGGATTCTATAGACAGCAAGTAATTTGTTGGAGGCATATCTTGGAGTTTATAATTTCTCCTTGATTTTTCGAAAGTTTTTATGTTAGTTGCTTTTAATTTTAGCATATCTTATCTTATATTTATTTAAGCATATAAAAATATTCTTAGATACATAATAAAATCATATTTAATACATAATTGTCTTAAGAAAAGATTTGCAGCGTATTTTACATTATTTTTTTCAAATAGAACAGAACAGAACTGAACAGATTGTTTTTTGCGATGAAATTGAATGTTGTATAAATTAAATAAATACATATTAAATTTTATATAAAATTCTTATAAAGTTCATATAAATTTTAAATAAAAAATTTTTTTTAACGATCTTGATCGTCATCATCATCTCCAAAAGAATATATAATTTCTTTAGCATATTCTGGATGAAACAAGTCATAATATTTTGAATCTATAACCAATACACTAGTGTGGTGGTCTAATTCTTCTCCATCCGTATTCGTGTTAATATTTATGTCTTCTGCTTGCTGAATATTAGAAGGTGCGCCGACACAACCTTGTTTAAATTCTTCTACGATAGGTTCCGGAGAATCCGAAGGAACCTTTTTTTTCATACCTTCATTATCTTGCTGCTGTGTGGAAGTTGGCTTATTATTGTTTCTTTTTGGAGAGAATATATAATGCGGGTATCGCCGCTTATGTTCCAATTTGGCTTTTTCAGCTAACGCGGTAAAGAACGTTATTACTTCTTTAGAAGCACATTCCCAAGCTTGAGAAGCTTCGGTTGAGACATATGGAACAAAGTTTCGACCTCTATTTAGAATTTGAACACTTGCTGCATAATTCCGCCGAAAGAGCATAAAGGAATTTAACGGACGTGGAATCTTTTCAGCGGATTCTTCGGGTTTAATTAGTTCTTTGATAGATAAATAAAGTGCACAGGGGGGATTATTGAAATCCTCTTCTTGATAAGAAGTTTGTCCAGAAGGATCGAGTATGAATGTGAAATTAGTTTTCATTTTTTTTTGATTTGATATTAGTTAGACGAGTTTCTTCCAAAGTTTTTTTTTGAGGTCTCGTTCAATTGATTTATATAAGAATTTTTGATATAATCAAATGTCAATATAAAACAATTATATGCTTTTACTTTAAGGAATTTTTGAATAAATAAAATATGTGTCTTTAGTCATGGTCACTGTCATCAAATAAGGGGAAAGCCGATTTGATAAAAACAACTAGTTTTCTTTTACGGAAAGTTTCTGTGACATAACCGATAACAATAGCAAAAAAAATACATGTTTTACGAAATAATCACAGCAATTTGAAACAACGACTAAATTACTCATTTTGATGCTATATTGTTTTTCTTGTCATTTATATTTTTTGACTTTTTAGGAAGTTATTTACACGTTAAGTCTCATCACCTGAATTCACAAAGTGTTCTTTAAGATAAATCAAAGACAGTGACTGCATAAGAAATCGCACAAGGATAAAACAAATGATCTCATATGGGTTCAATAAAAGCAATTTCATAGCTTCTCTGCACCTATTCGTTATCCCCTATCGATAGAATAAGGCGAGAGTAATACAGAATGCAAAAAATGTGGGAAAAAATGTCGTTGTTTTTTCACTGATAAAACCAAACAAGTTCTCCGCCTCTTACCAAAAATGTAAACAATGTTAGAAAAAGTGTCGCTATGCTAAATAAAGTTTAATATCTTTGCATCATTGAGCAGCACAAATACCAAAAATGGTTTGTACATCTAGATTCAATAGAAAACAACAACGACAACATTTGGCTGATTGGTGTGGGTTCATCTCATTAATATTATCATTATGCAAATCACGTCCCCCCCCCCCTTAGATCACAAAATGATAATCCGTTACCGATGCAGTATAAAATATTTTATAATCATTCGTTTTTGACATGCAGTATAAAATAAATTTTTTAAACTCATTCATTTTTTACATATTATGTTATTTTATATTATATTATGTTATATTATGTTTTTATGTGTCTGTCCATTTGAACAATTTAAAACTTTTGTAGGTTTCATTTTTAACAGAATGCGTAAATTCATTTTCACAATGATGCTGAACAGATAACATTGTTTTATTTTATTTGTTTTACGTAACTTCTCATTACTAATTTCTTATTACTAATGTGTAAGATATTTTTACACTCATTAATATTTAACTTTTTAAATTCCAAATCTGAAACGCTGTTAGAGAATGTATGATTTGAATCAAAGTTCAAAATAATTCTAACATGTTAAGAATTAGAACAATAAATGTTATTTACGATTGTTTTAATTGCCGTTTTTCAAGGTCGATAAATTGAAAAACATGGGACAAAATTATGCAAAATACAAGTTTTTGACTATCCGTTGGGGATTTGTTTATTGTTGAGCCTGCCTTTCATTCAATCTTCTGCGTCTTCTGCAAATAATAAGGTAAAAAAATTAATGGAAAAACCTTACTTGTTTTACTTGTTTTCCTAAACCTTATCTCCATACAACCTTACTCGCAAGTCCATGGAACTTTTTTGTGTTTCCATTCTTTTGAAAGTCTCATTATGTCTTCGATAAATGATTAAAGGCCATAGAGATACATGTAAACGTAAATAGAATTTCCAGTCATAGCATAAAGCAATAACAGTACATATCGAGTTCTAATCAAGGATGCAGTCTTTATGGTTACGTCTCCGACGTGACTTAACATAGAATTACGATACGCCCATCTTATAGATTAGTCCCCTTTGTTGTCGGTATGATTACATCCTATATGTATAAATCTTGACGTAACATAATATCGAGTTACGTCTAATCAATAATAATTCAACTGTGCGATAACAGAACTTTGCTCCGTAAAAATAAATATACGTGCATATGTTAATAGGAAAAGCTCAAAGAATTACTTTAATCAACTATTTTTAGTCTGTATCTGCACTGTCTCGTATATTCTTTGTTAATGGGATTATTGAATTGATTAATTCATAGCAATATATACATATCGATATATTGGACTAAATAATTTGTTAATCTTAATCAACGTCATACATGGAGATTTTTGTGAAAAATATATTCTTTATTTGAAAGAGGCCAATTTCAAAAATCGTTGTGACCACAAATATAATAATTCTAAATTAGAGAAATAAAGCGATTGCTCGATATTCTTCTGTCTAAGTATGTTAACGTTCTAAAGATAATATGTAATATATTTCTATTATAAATATTGTAAGTTTTTTATTCTTTTATGCATTCATGTGTCTGTGTGTATGTATAATTATCGATAGAATTGAAGTTCTTTTTCAGTTTATGTCCGCCTTATCAGGCTTTCATCAAAATATGTTAATTTACTGTATTTTATTTTGAAAACTTTATATACAAGCATGTATTAACGCGCGCGCGTTAAAAAAGGAGCAAATGCACATGTATCACATGTACTACTTACTACATCTATAAAAAGATTCGCAAATAAAATTGTTTCCAAAAAGAGCAGAAAAATTTTGATTTACACGGCTAACGAAAACAATATTTACTCTTTGTAAGTAAATGTGAAAGATAAGGTTTATAATCCCCCGCATTACATTACATGACAGTGTCTTTGAGTATCAATTATCGGTGATAACAGGAGAATTCTATTAATAAGGCTGATTTTATGAATGAATTTCGTTGTAACGACACGTAATCATAACGACAATACAAACTGGGAACAGAGGAATAATCATGTATATGGAATTTGATCCATACAACGACAAAATTGACTTTTTTAGCTAAAGCCGATAGTGTCATTGTAACAAGACCCACTTGCACAGAGAATCTTATTTACATGTAGTAGAATATAACGGGTCTTTGTGTGCATGTATAACGATAATAGAAAAATGGAACAGAGGAAAATTAACCTTTTTAGCAGGGACCGAGGTGTGTCGTTATGAATGAATTCGTTTTATCAAATCAAATTTCTTATACATATATCAATCCAGTTTATATTATCGTTATTTAAAAAGTACGTTGTCTTGTATCAAATTAAATTTCTGATAGATTACTGTTTCACTGCGTGTATTTGGTTATCGTTATGTCAAAAATGTCATTGTCATTATAACAGGGTAATACGAATGATTGTATGGTATAGATCATACATAATCCCTGGACTGGTTACTAGTATTCTGTATTCAGTACCCTTATCACCTGTATCACTGTACTACATAAATATGTTGATCATTGTTAAATTTTCGATTATAAGCGACGCGCAGCAATATTACTTTTGCTCTCGTTCAAATTTTTTTCTCATACTTTTTAATTTTGAATAATCTTTGAATATTTTCAATAAAATTAAATGCTCTATTATTAAATGAATACTTTTATAAGCTTTCTAAGCGATTTTAAAATTTTTATTAGATATCAGTGTCAAAAAATTTCAGAGAAAAAAATCAACAAATTTTTTTTTCGCGTTTTCTAACCTAGAAAATCAAAATTCAATGCAATATGATACTTTCAAGCTTTCAAATAATTGTTCCATATTGAATATGTGGCCTTATAGTATATATTATTCTTCAACTTTAAATAATAACTTTTATCAATAGCCAAGACAATTACAAAGACTTTATCCGAGTATTATCGATATTATCAAGCTATCAAAAACAAACTTATTATAAATTTTTTATCCTTACAATTGTTCCCTGTAACAAATTCAAAACAACTTATTATAAAATAAAAAATCTAAGACAATTACTAAGTTCTTATTGAGTACTATCGGTATTACCAAGCTATCAAAAATAAAACTATTGGTAAACTTTTTATGCTTACAATTGTTTTCTGTAACAAATTCAAAGCATCTTATTATAATCATTATTTAAACAAGACTAATAATTTACTCAGAGTTATTTCAGAAAATTTTTCTAATTTTCCAAATAATAAACGAAAATTTGCTAAACAATCTAAAATATAAACAAGTTTGTACTATATCCTATTTATTTGTAAGTTAAACAAACTTTTCTCGAAATTCAAATTTAAAAATAGGAGAATCTGAATATACTTAAGAAAATATATCTGTAAATTTTATGCTTTAGTTTTTGCTTATTTTAATCTCAATATATAAGTAATAAAATATATAAAATTCAATATAATACAACTAGATATTTCTTTATAACTATTACTTTTATAAAAATTAAATAATAGAAATGTAAGAAATCTATTTAATAGTGACTTTACATAACTCTTATTTTATGCAAAATGGTATAGATACTGTTATATGAAATTTCCATTTGATTAGCTAACTTTTTTATTTATTTATGAGAGTTTTTACTAAAAATATTATAGATATTTTAATATTCTTTTACACAACTGTCTCACAAGATCTGTCAGATTGAGATTTATCTTTTAAGCAGTCTCTTCTATTATTGAAAACTTTTAATTCAGTATTGGTCTAGATGTAATAATAATACTATATATCTATAAGTTTTAGCTAATTTTTTATAAATTGTATCAATATCTATATTATTTTGTTTTTTGATAAATATGTAGAAGTAATATTATTTATATAAAAATTAAGCTATTAATTTTAATAAGTAGAATTTGAAAAATAATATTTCAATAATTATTGATTCAAAACAAAACAAATTTGATTTATTTTAAAGATTAAAACTTTAGTTTATTAATATATAATATAGAAATATATATAAAAACTTTTTGATTTATTTATATATTCTAATTAAACAAGTTATTTTCTTTAAAAAAGAGATAGTTATTAATTAATAATTAAAAAAATTTCTTGAACAAATACTTATTCAGATTTTTTATAGCTAATATATTATATTTTTTCTTTTTTATTATAATCAGTAATATATTAAATAAGTATTAATTTTTTAATTTTAATATATTATTAATAAATTTTAAGTAGATTACTATTATTTCTTAATTTTTTTAATTATTTTATTATTCTTTTATCAATTATTATAATTAAATATATATATATATATATATATATATCACTTAGTACAATTATAAAAGTATTTATT